AGCCTCATAGGCAATCCTGTTATAGATTCCTGTTTGCATGATAGACAGCCAAATACCAGAAATTGCTCCGCCTGTCATGTGCCACAGTACCGAACAAATAAAGTTGCTATGTTGAAGAATTCTCTTTACCAATTCTTTTACCAAGCAGCGTCAGTTCACAGTGACACAGCCACCTGGAACACAACTACATACATTTGTGGGCAGTCCTTCAGTCATCTGTACGAAGATACTGATGGCAGACTGGATAGGACCAGGAAAGAATAGCCATTGCTTCCATTTAACTTAACAATTATGCCCAATACCTGAATGCCGGGCAGCAAGTCATTACCCGGCATCCTGATTTGCCAGAAAGCTGGCTCCATGTTCCCTCTCCGCACGCCGGTCAGAGGAAATCTCTCTGACTGGCAGTTCAGGTTTTGGGGAAGGTATCGGAGTATTTGAGCAAGTACTCGTACTTGCCCAAATACTCTGTATCTGTACCAATACTAGTATCGGTACCAATGCATCCTTACATTTCTTGCTGTCTTCATTTGCCCTGTTTAGACTTCAGATAACACTATTTGGCTGTACATATAAAGGAGTTTACAATTTTCTTTGGCCATATGCCTTGTTCTGTATACTAGAACAGAAAGCGGAGGTATTTGTAATACTGTCAGACAAGGCCTGGTGTTTAGAGAACAGTGTGCTACATAAATAGTGCTGAGGTGGAGCCACACCAAAGCCATGAAATCTCGTTGTTGGAGATTAATGGCATTCTCTCTACAGAAGTGGAACTGGAATCTGTTCAAGGCACATTCATTTACTACAACAAATAGTATAATTTAGTGTTTGGTTGAACGTTTACTTTAGGTCTTAGGCACAGAGAAAAGAGCGTGCGGTGGAAATAACTGAACTAGTCACAGGCATACAAATTTGTAGAGTAAAGCTTCTTTCTAGAATATGGTGCACATAAAATGGTGACACAACTTGTGTCATTTATCTTGCTACTCGTAAAAATAGGTGTTCAGCCACCCACATTTCTTTACTACCAGAGGATGCAGTATTTATATATCACTGCTTTGACTTTACATTTCTTCTGCTGTCAGTGTCTGTTATACAGACCTGGCATACTACTCAATGCTATAAAAAAAACTATCCATACATTGTGATGGCAAGCATTTACTTTTGCTGTGTATTGAGGAGGATCCCCAAGATGTGTGTGGTTTTTTTTGTGTGTGCTGCATGCAACCCAAAACGTCCACTATAGCAGTTCTCAGAGATGGTAATCTGTTGCAAACACTGTAGTTTGTGTGGATATTTAGAAAACTAAGCAAGAGTCAAGTATTAGCTAAAACAACCTTTTTCGACCAGGGTGACTTGGCACACTGGAATGCCCTCTGACTTCCTCAGGGGTGTCTTTGTGGTAGTGGGACTGTAATGTGAAGGGGGCTCCTGATGTAAAGGGGAAACTCTAATATGAAATTGTTAACTCTGATATGAAAGAGGGGCTTCTGATATCAAAGTGTGAGTCTGATGTGAAGATGGGGGTCTTGATTTGAAGGGGGACTTCGGTGTGATGAAGGAAATCCACTATGTGTGTTTTTTGCATGGGGTCCTCTTTAAAATCTATGACATTTTAAACTGGGGTGCTGTGATTGGAAAAAGGTTGAGAAACGCTGAGCTTAAAAAATACTTAAATCTTCATCACTTTGCCCCTAACCTGGGCCTAGGCAGTTAGCATTGTGGGTGCCATATTCTTTTTCTTCCAGATTAGTACATGGACATGGCCTCTCGTTACGCAACCACATATGTTCCTCCATTTAGGAGACACGCTTGGCACTAACTTTAGGTGATCAATGTTCCATCAGTTAGGAAAGGCTAACCTGGTCAGTAGGTTCTGGTATCCATTCACTGGGTATTTTGATGATGTTTGATACACAATAACGGATATCTGAAGGTATCTTAAAGGGAAATTTAGCACAGCACTTAATACCTCTGTACGAAGCCTCACAAGGGAGTTACTTTGGCCACTTCAGCACTAAGCATGTTATAGCTATCAGTGCTGAGAGGCAGGAATTTGAATAGTATGCATGCCAATGATCCTAAAGCAGTGATGGCACAGACAAAAATGTATTGTGTGACTGATTTAGGTGATCATAGTTTGCATACCACCAGCTTGGTTACAATGTTGGATATTTTCAGTCATAGCCATGTATAAACCCATAGCCATAGAGCAGGTATCTTTTTCTTTTTTTTTGATTATTGGTTGATGTAGGTTTTGGCTTGCCATATATTATTCTTTTCTGGGATACCAAAGTGACTGACCATGTCCAAATGCCTTTTGCTCACATGATCTTTGCTTGAAGTTGAGAGGATCAGCAGATCTGAATTGATCCTCGCCTTAGCAGGGACCACCTGGCCAAATACCTAGGCATTTGTTCACATGACTTGAAACCTGTAGTAATAGTTTTTCCAGATAGGTGTTTTAAGACCCCTTAAAGTATTAATGGACTTTATGATAGTGAAATGGACAGGTTAGTGTTGTTTTACATTAGGGTTAGGAAGCTTCAGCTCACAATCAATCCAACAGAAATGAATGCATACAAATTTGAGATTATATTTTCAGGTTGATTTTAACTTGACTGTAGTACTCCCATTATTTACAGCAGGTATGAATATACTGTTAAAATGTATATATATTGTTCAAGACAATGAACAACAAGGGTATACAATACAATGAGAATGTGTGAACTCACTAGTGAGTAATGGGAGCATATAGTTTGATATGTGTAGGTGGGAAGCTAGTTTCTGAAATGGTCAGTGTATTACAGGAATTGTGCAAGGCTTGAGGTTTCTGCCTTTTGTGGTTTTAGTGGATTACATTTTGGTAGACCGCACTACCTTTTCTATCTGCTCGTGTCTGTGCCCAGGAACTTTGTGGCTTTTGTCATTGCAGCTGCTCAGCCTGATGCCAGTGAGTGAGGTAGGTTTGGCGGTGGGGTGCTGCATCCTGATGGGAAGAAGAAAGGGGAGACGGGATTTAGCATGCTGAATGCTGCCTGATTATAGGCTTCTGGCACATTTTACAGAGCATGCCCTTTTCAATATCTGTATTATAATAACAACCTGCATATGCCCACGGATAAAGAAGCAAACTGGTGATTGCCAGTGATTTAGGTTCTGCATAATTAAGCAGTCTTCCTTTTCACTGAGATGATGTCTGTGTTATATGTGTATAGGTTACCTTCATTATGAATGAAAGAAAACACAAGTGGGTATCTTTTTTGCTTTAACTGTGCTGAGTTATTCATTCTTATATGAAATCATATTTCTTATAAAGCATGGTAGTTTGCATTACCCTGTATTCATGTGCATACTTTATATGCTGCATTTTAGACTTTAAAGGCTGGTTCATACTATTTCTCTGCAGTAACACACATTATGTGCTGGGGTAAGAGCAATCCTAATGCAACACACAGCTAACATGATGCAATGCGTGTTACTTACATGTGAATCCAGCCTAAAGTTAAGCTGCTGGCGGAACCTAATTGAAATACATATACACAAACCGTTACCTGCTAAAACATTTCTGATTTTATACAACCTAGTTTTATGTTCCATTCACCACTACCTGATGGGACAACGGGATTCTTAACACCCACTGCAGCAGTAACATAACTTTCCCAAGACCACTGGGTCAAAACATCCCCCTGACTGGACAATGAATTAGCAGCATAGTGATGAGGTCATCACTCTGCCCCATCCTCCCCAGTATGTTCCATGTTGGGAGATGTGCAGTGCAGCACACCTAATTAACTCCTAGTTCTAACCTTCTTTTTATCAGTTTGTTGCTGTGCATGGAATTCCATCAGACAAACTCCGATGGATAAACTAGTTACATTTTTTATGATACAATTAATTATTTTTTTAGTGAACCCATAAGTTGACACATGTATTCTATTTTGGTTTCAATAACATGATGCAGAGAGCAGTAGTGTATGTTAGTATTCATATCATACTACTGATTGACTCTATAACAATTTAATCTTTACTTGAACGTGTTGGGAATTTTTCCAGAGTTTATCATTTATTTCTGTTATCTTATTATAGATCACAGATGTCAACCAGAGATGTGCTTTTGTAGCATGCAGTAGCAAAGCATACATGTTTATGCTGTCAGCAGATCATCTGAAATATAGGCTGTCAAATGTCTCAACTTCTTCAGCTTCAGAGCGGTCACCTGATGGTGCCATGCTAGCTAGGTAGATTCCCACTTGGGTCACTGCCATTAGTGTACTTGTACGTTTTTCTGTGTTTGATACAGTACTGATTGCTGGCTTACACCCAAATTTTCCCTGTGTCTCCACAATTGTATGTAGATTAACACCTTCAGAGGTAGAGACTGCTGTGAGTGGTTCAGTGTATGCTTTCAAATATGGGTGGACAATGATCATGTCTATAGCTGAATTCTGTTTGTCATTTTTTCCTCCAAAATAGTACATTTGCAGAAGATTCCTACCTATTAAGTAGAATCTTGTATGAAAAGGTTTGAGGTTTCAGAAATATAAGGGATACTTGTACAGTACAAACATTAGAGATGCTGGTTTGTAAATCCATATGATGTAAGAAATGGGGAGTAAAGACTGATCAATGTTTTGTATGTGTGCCATTGGCATTAAATAATTAACAGGGTTGTGTCACATATTTAATGTAGCATCTAAGTTGTCTTATTACTTCAGGCAATACATATCATCGATAATCCAGGTAGAGGAAAACACCATCTGTTGATTCCTGCATTCCATTGTTCCAGGGGGGAACGGTGTCAATCTGTACTACTTTCAGTATAATAGCTAACAGACATGGGAACCTTGGTGCTGTCTATTATTAGCCTAGAGTGATAAATGTCTCAGACAATTATTATTTTAATCATCACATGAGCACACAGTAACAACATACTGCTTTTTATAATCAGCCATGCTTGACTTATTTCTGATGTTTCCTCTTTTTCTATTTTCTTGTAGCTTCCTGCTGATTTCACCAAACTGCATATCACAGACAGCCTACATCCACAGGTGACCCAGGTGTCCTCCAGTCATTCAGGATGTAGCATCACTAGCGATTCTGGGAGCAGCAGCTTGTCTGACATCTACCAGGTAAGATATATTCCTTCTTCAGTGGTGTGCTGATCAATAAAGAGTTTGTGATGAATTTCATTTGGTGTATATTCAATGCATTCTGTGGACAGAAAAAAAAAAATCTATCATGACAGCTGTTACCCCGGAAAGCTGAAGCTGTAATGTGATGTGGTTGTGTCTGTTGTGCCTCATAGCTTTTATGACTTTTGGAACTAGGAGCAGTGGCAGAAATAGTTGAGAACCTTACAGTACATATGACAGATAACAACCATCCCCATATATTCCCTCTTGAAGAGAGTTTATATTGGCCAGAGCTAAACTATGGAGTATTTGGCCAATATAGTGACAACACAGGTCTGTTGTGCTCCATAGCTAGGACAACTTATGGAGCAGCGGCAAAGAAAGTTGACAGCCTTTCCCATGTCATGTAACACCCATGTTCACATATTTCCTTTTAGGTCTCATGCACAGCTTCATTTTTATTAGTACTAAGTTCCATTTTCTATGGACCCAGACATACAGTGCATAGAGATCTTTCAACCTGCACTGTGTCCAGAGCTGTAAAATCAAAACAGAAAAATTTGTGTCCCATGTCTGTAATTTATGTGTGTACACATATAAACATGTGTAAACTCTTATACATGCATGCACGCAATTTCTCCATAACTGTGTGCATAGGACTTAAAAGAGAGCTAAATCAGCCAGAACTGAACTATGGGGTATGTAACCAATATAGTGACAACACAGACCATATGCCAACTTTTTTTTCCCCCCATTTCATTGCCTCTATTAGAGGTGGATAGTATACTTAGTATGCAGAGCTTAAGGTCAGAGGTCACTGAGGAGCCCATGTCATCGTAAATCATTTTTATCCATACTTTTATCCAACACACTACACACTAGGTACATTGCAACTGGTGAATTAAATGTAACTCCTTCCCTATTGTAATAGGGCCTGCACATGAGAAGTAACATTTTGGATGCATGCTTCTCTTTCATATATCACTTTCACCATTTAAGGATGGGCTCAAATGGTTTGATCCAACTCCAGGATTTATGGCCTGACCCAAAACATGAATGAGGATTTTGCATTAGTGCTACTGTGGTTGAAGGGGGTGACCTAAATCATTTACAACATTTGGGGGTGCTTCCTTTCTCACAGGAATTTTCCATTTTACTGGGAGATGTCTGTCATGTGGAAAGTCTGTGACTGCACATGCACAGCTTGTGTTTATTGGCCACATTATAAGATCCATAGTGACAGTGCCTGTTATAGCTGTCTCCCTGCCTGTGTTCCTGGGAGATATCTACCTGTTTATCGCCACCCTACGTGCAGGTAATTGGCAATTATCACAAAACAGATTAATTATCATTAAAAAAGATGTACAGTCTACCATATTGCTAAATATTCTGCAAATAATTCAGAGAGGGAATAACTAAATAACTTTATTTTTGTCTTTTCCCTTTTGTGTGAACAGCTAGCATTGTAAGCTCATCATAGCAGATTGTGGTGGCTACTGAAACTTGGAGAATAGTTTATTGCTCTTTCCTGGACTTCTGTGATCTAAATTGTATGACCGATGAGCTGTGAATTTCAGAGCATACCCTTTTCTACTTCACACCGTCCACTACAGATATATTTTTTTTCTCTTCAGTTTTGTAAAGTTGGAGTCATGGGAAACACTTGGCAGATGCCTTAAAGAAATGGCTGTGCATTAGCCAAGGTCCATTAACACTGCCTGGCTAGGCAAGTGCTGTCATTATCCCATCATTCATGCAGATTGTAGCAAGCCCATCCTCCTCGGCTCATGTTTTTTTCACATTCCTGTTTTGTTTTTTTTTCTTTTTAATATGAACTTAGATTTTGCTCCAACTACTGATCGTCTTTCATGCATATAAGGTCTATCATGTGTAGATGGATATTCATTTGACATGATTTGACTTATCCAGCATTAACATAATCTGTACTATAGAGAAGCACTAGACAAATATGCAAAGAAAACAATCTA